ATCCGGTCAGAAGCGCTGATTGGTAGACGGAGTAGTTATATTGTTTTAGCTATTGTTTACGAATGACAGACAAAAGGCTACAAGGGTCAACTGTAAACGCGATGAATCTATAACAAAACAGTCAATGACTGTGGAATATAGTCTTCTCTAGAAGAAGCATTTGTATTTTGCCGGTGCTTGTTCGCAGATGAACACAACACTTTTGGTTTTAGCTGGTCCTTTTTGCATTTTACCTTGTTTAAACGTGAACCTTGGGGTGCTTATGGCCTAAAAAATTTGTAAGTAAATGCAGTAGTCATACTTTAAAAACAGCGACTCAGCGTCTGCAAGGAGATCGCAAAACATCCCCACCGGTGCGGTTTTCGTAGGCTAGCAAAACGCCAGACGAGCGTAAAGGAAATGGAATAATTATGTATAAAATTATCTGTCAAAAAAAAAAATTATGCAATTAAGAATTGGACGCAAAAGTTTTGTCCTGATATTAGAACTCGTTGGGATATGAGCTGGATTATAAGTCCAACGACTGTGTTTGAAATCCGATCGCCTACCTTCAAGTCTGCTATGTTGAAGATAATACTTAGAGAGAATATTTCTCTAAAAGCTCTATGAAAAAAAAAAAAGAATTTTAAACGTAAAATTCACTAAGTAACGAATAAGGGTCATTAGGTATGCAAAACGCGGTGCGGAGGTCGATGATAAGTGAGCTTGGCGTTTTTGAACAGTAGAATAGGAAACTAAATATATAATTCTGAACATTTTTGTTGTTTGCAAGCTTTCACCGGTAAAAGGGAAATGATATTGGCATGCTTTTAAGATAACACTTATCCCTTCACTAGAAATAAACAGTTAGTTCTATTTGCACTCTCCCTAAGTTGATTGATAGGCACTTATTTGACTACCAAAATTAAAATTAGCGACCTTCCTGAAAATTAAAAGGAAAAAATCCAAGGCAAAGTTAGATCCAGCAAGAATCTGTACCCTTCGATCAACTGTAGCTTTTTAGGAAACACATTTATCGACATGCTTGAAGTACACAATAGCAACCTCTCTTTTCCCCAGCGCATTTGAATTATTTGGGGCCATCTTTAGTCACGAGTCAAACCATCAGGGGCACCCAATGACAATCTTTGGAGAATATCTGTTCGGAAGACGATTTGAGATCTAGAATTTTCGGAACATTTGTTGTAAAATTTCTTGCCTGCTTGCCTCTCCTAGGATTTTCGAACATCTAAAAAATGGTATAATTGCCCCTGGCTGAAATTTTCGAAAAGGTAAGTTTTGATCCCTATAATTTTCGCATCACTAGACTTTCAGCTAGGAAATCCGAACAGATGAAAAATTTTTAGGGGATGAAAATATGCCTATATGTACCATTCAAATACTACAATACGTTCAACAATGCTATGTTTAAGTGGTTTTGAACTATATTCTCGTTGGGTGCCGCTGAACCATGGGTAGGAAAGCAGAATTTTTCTGACAACGTTAAATCTTTGCCCAGATTTTTGAGGTTTCCACAAGAGAACGTTTATTTTCTCCGAATATAATTGTTAAAACTAAGCAAAAAAATGAGCAGTTAGGTGAACAGCCGATATTAAGAACGGTTTCTATCAAAATATTTTCTTGTCATCTTTGTCACAGATGGTCATAATTTAAAGAATAAGCTTCCTGAGTCCTCCAAAAAGCACTAAAGGTTTTCAATGTGGGAAAAAGCACTTCAACGTCACCTCTAAAACATCTTCATTTCTGAGTGCATTGCACCTCGTGACTCTGTTCGTATTTTAGGGGTTCAGTTTGATAGCATATTTAGTTTTGAGGAGCACATTAAGAACATTTGTAAATCATCATTCTACCATTTGAGAAATATTGCTAAAATCCGCAAGTACTTAAGCCAAGATACATGTGAAATCTTAGTCCATGCATTTATTAGTTCGAAACTTGATCACTGTAATTCCTTATTACATGGCCTTCCT